CCAGGGGAAAATTTCAGAAGTCCGTTCCCCGATTCGGACTCCCGAGACTGTTCGTTCCTTTCACGAGTCATCTAATTCGACGACATGTGTTATTAAAATCGTTGTGCGGCGCGCGGTATTTCTCTCGGAAGAAATCCGATCGATCGCCGGCGAAAGTTCAATCGCAAGCTCCTTAATGGTCACTCGAAGGTAGCCTGTTTCCACTTAAGGAGTCGTCCCCCCCCCCCCCTGGAAACCCGGTGAAAAGAAAGTTCCGAGAACTCGCGCCGAGCTCACCCTCGCTCGAGTCGTAATAAGAACGATCGCGATTCAGCCCTGGCCGCTAATCTAATCGAAAACGTAATACGATATCGTAATATCGAAGACGTAATCACGGCGATGTGAAGATACCGTCGAAAATTATGATATCGTGTAAGATCAACGATCTTGCGTCCTGTTTACATCATATTTTTCTTTTGGCGAATAAACGGCTTATCAACGCTGACGTGTCCCGTCTTTATTTGGAGGAAAGCGAGATTCGGGAACGCGAGGTGCTTCCAAGTTAGCTTGAACAAACACCCCGCCGAAATATTCCACTTTCGAAAAATGACCACGTTACCCACTTGCGACACGTAAAGCCTAGTCTACGTTAGGGCCTGAGCAGAATGGCTGTCTTCTACCCTTAAGACATAAGACGGTTATTGTGCTGTTATCTCAAGACAAAGGCTTAAAACATAAAACATTGTCTTATCTCTTATTGTCAGAGGTTGATGAGACACAGTGTCTCATCAACCTCTGACAATGCTTGACACCTCGATAAGCTTTTTTAACTTTTAACTTTCTTTTTAATCTTTTATGTGTTTTATTGTACTGAGTAATTTGGTTTCTTGACTATGTACCTCTGTATAACTGGATACTCTGATATGCTATTTCTTGCTGTCACATTTAATGGGTGACACTTGAGAAGGACCGGTATTACTGGTCGAAACGTCGTGTATCATTTGAAATATATTGTGTGTTGTAAGTTAATTATTGTGTTTTATTCACTGGCGATCCATCTATCTGAAGATTGAATTTGAACGTCGAAAACTTGCTATCTCACATTAGAAGCCTATCTCATAATAGGGAACCTTCTGGAAGTCCGTGGTCTCAACCGATGCAATTTGAATCCCTTCTCGCAACAGGCTTGCGACTCTGTGATCGCGACTAATGTAGAATGGCCTTAAGAGACGCGTGCGACGCGAATTTGGAGCGCGCCGGCCGGCACTCAATGACGTCCTAAAAAGGAAGCGTAGAGTCCCTGGAGAGAAACTCCTCGGCGTTTCACCGACGTGACGGCCGCGCTAATCGCGCGATAAAGAGATCCGGCCGCGTGATTTTAAGACGCCGCGCGAATTATTCCGATAAGATATAGGAATGCGCCGGCGGCGAGACCCGCGGAGTTTGTACCCCGGCGAGCGATCGGTCGATCGATCGGTCGTGCCTAGATCGCGTATCGCGATCCGCGGGTGCTCGAAATCCCGGGGGCGGACCGCCGGCGGAAAAACCAGTCCGGTCGCGCGTGCGGGGCCTTTCATTTCCCCGTCCACTGCCGACGTAAAATCGCGCCCCGCGCGGGACAAGCTTCTCTTGCGTCCGGCGGCTTTTCGCGTCGCGAGGGGACGAAGACGACCGGCGGACGCCTCTTCGTCGTGTCGCGTTTGCCGCGAGTGATACGCCGGCGTTGCATTTGTCGCGCGGCAAATTTTTCAAGCGCGTTGATTGCTCGCGGGACCACGAGACACGGTAGTGTCTCGCACCAAGTATAAAGGCTAATCTACAATGCGCTCTTTGCATTTAGAAACATCCTATTTTGTGGACAATAAATACACTAACCCGCAAAAAAAATGGGCCACCACATTTTAGCCCAATTTTTTAACATTTTTCCATAGCGATAACTCGGCGAAAAATCATCGTAGACAAATGATTAAAAGAGCATTTTGAAGCTTGAAGTTTCAACTTTGAAATGCTGTCAACAATTCTTCAAAATTCAAAAAATTGGGCTAAATGTGGTGGCCCATTTTTTGCGGGTGAGTGTATGTTAAAAAAATTTTTGCAAGTTGATAAATTGTATACTATACATTGCACAATTGTACATTGTCGACAAAGTTTTTAAGCGTTTTGATTTGCTGATATAAAATAGAATGTTTGTAGACGCAAAGAGCACATTGTAGATTAGGCTTAAGCGTAGCTAGAACCGCGCGCGCGCGACACTGACCGTAGAAAAGTCCTCGAGCGCGTCTAGAAATTTTCTATCCTGCAGTCAATATGCTTAAAAAAATTATACGACAAACATAATAGTACCCTGAAGTCTACAATATACTCTCCGCGTCCAGAAACATTTTGTTTTTCGGCTTCAGTTCAACGGACACCCTTGCCATAAGGTAGACGTGCCTGCCAACACGTTTTACACTTATACACTCAGGATCTTTATAATTGTTGCGTAAATTGATTGACTAATGCCAATATTAAATCAATTGGACATTTAGTTTGTAAGTTTTTACTGTCTATTGTCAACTCTACAATTGTTGAACACATAAATTTGTTCCCCGCAGACTGTTGTAATGGAGTTCAAGTTGTTTAATGTTTTGTACTGTAATATATACTGAGACACACTGAAATCAATCTAATACGGTATATTGGATATATTTGTTGTAAGTTTCCTTTGGAAGTGTATATTCTATCATTGTTTCATAGTCATATTGATGTACACGTACCGGCATAAATGCTGTCCTTATCCTTGTGAGGTGCACGCACACAACTACAGGGACTCTAGTTGTGTGCGTGCACCTCACAAGGATAGGGACAGCATTTATGCCGGTGCGTGTACAGCCACATATTGACATACTTGACAGATTTGTGCTTGAAGAGGACCGCAATCCGTACGGTCGAAACGTTGTATATTATTTAAGATTAATAAAATAATGCCAGTTGCGTCGAGGGAAAGTTGAAGTTTCAGGTTATTTTATTACTGGCGAGCAAAGGTATTAAGTTTGCCATTTTGTTATGTAGTCAACAAGTACGTTTTTACAAATTCGTGCAAGTTGATTGTATAATCGTACACTGTTGACAAATTTCTTCAAGCGTTTTGATTTGTTTATATAAAATGGAACGTTTCTGGATGCAGAAAGCACATTGTAGACTAGGCCCGAGGCTGGCGTCGCATTTGTCGCACGACAAATTTTCCAAACGTGTCGATTGCTCGCGGGATAGAAAAGTCCCCGGGGCGTGTCCAGAAATTTTCTATCCCGCGGCCAATCAACGGGCTTAAAAAATTTGTCGTGCGACGAAACGCAACCAATACCCCGACGCCCGCAGAATGCACGAACGCGGAGGGGGAAGAGGCCCGCATCGGGCAGATTGCGTTGAATTGCGTCGAGGATTGCGAGTCGAAGGGGTCGGAATTCGGCCGATCGGACAGTTTCGATCGCAATCCGTTCCGTGCGGTTGAAGGATTCAAAAGTGCATCCCGTTTCGCACTGGTTACCGATCTCCCCGGACGAACTTTCGTGGCGCATAAACACACGCATAAGGGAATCTCATTGAGTCGTAACTGCGTGCATAAAAAAAATAGACCGATCAATTCCCTAAAGCCCGTATCAGACTAGGGATTGTGATTGAGATTAGATTGAAATATGACGAATCGGAGTAAAAGTTACTAAACTTGAGATTAGTGAACTTTACTGTGATTGGTCAAATTTCAATCTAATCCCAATCTCAATCCATAGTCTGATACGGGCTTAACGCATATGCATCTGTGTAAGCTTGTCTGGACAGATCCTATTCTATCCTATACAAATGTGAAATAAGGATAAATGATGCATCGTGCGTGAAACGGAATGCACCTCTAATCTTCTATTCGTCAATCCCCCCCCCCCCCCCTTTCGCGATCTCCGATACGCAGCCCGATGCACAGACTTTACGCGGCGCGGCTTCGGCGCCCTCGATGACTCCATGCGTAAAGAAATGTGCGGCATATGTATACGCGGCACGGCGCGTCGCGGTTCTCCGCCGCGCGTTTAGGCCTGTTACACAATACGTCGTATGTCGCTGTCGGATGTCGGGACGTGGTCGATGGTCCAATAAGAAAATTCC